AGAGTGGACACACCCACCATAGACACACATTATACAAACCAATACGCCGCCAAATATCAACATCAGAGATTAGCCTAGACATACCCCATCCGGCGCCTACGGAGGCCGGCAAGAGGGATCTAGCGCCATCTCTGATCTCGCCGAGTACGGATTCGAGGAGGAAGACTACCCTGTCATCGACTACGAGTTGGTTATCTAGCCGTCAAGTCGATGACAGTTAGATAAGTTATCCCAGATATTGTATTTGTGTGATCCAGATGAATAAAGAGCAACACCGGCTTCAGCCAATAGGATGTAGGGCTATTACCTGTCAGATAAGAGGTCCGAACTTGTATAAAAATCCCTATCTCCATCTCTTTTACCTCAATCTCACATATACCCTGGTACCGACGATCCCCATACCATCCAAATACCGTAGTCGTGATACCAAACGTCGACAGTTACACTTATAAGTATATATTGCCTCAAACACAAATACATGGTGCAAATTTATGTCTACCAAAAAAAATGAAAAAAAAATGTCAAGCAGTAGGTCACCGCGCCGCCGAGGAGCGGCAACAGGGGGCGGCGGAGGAACGGCGACGGGAGGAGCGGCAATGGGGGCCAGCGGGAGGAGCGGCAATGGAGTGGCAGCGTCGGCTTGGTGACGAGGAGAGCCGCCGCTGGCGGCAGATGAGCGGCGGTGGCGGTTGCGGCTTGGTGATGAGGAAGTCCACCAGCGGCGGCGGTTGCGGAGGGGCGGCGTCAGCTCAGCACAATGAAAACCACCGGCGGCGGCGGCAGCCACCACTCCTCCCTCAGCCCACTGGCTCCGCTGCTCCGTGCGCCGGCGCTCCCTCCCTCCCCGCAGAACAACGCATCCGCCGGATCCGTCACCTGGTTGCCTCGCCTCTGCCAGATCCACCCTACCACCGTCGCCCCTCCTCGTTGTCGAGCCGCCGCCGCCGCTCCTCTTCCTCGCCGAACCACCGCCGCCGACCCTCCTCTTCGTCGAGCCACTGCCATCCCTCCCATGCCGCCGCCGTCCTCCGCCTTGTCGAGCCGTCGCCGCTCCTCCTCCTCGTCGAGCCGCCGCCGCTATCCCTCCCATTTCTGGCGAGAAAGATTAGAGGGAGACAAGCTCCGGTGAGAGAGATGAGAGGGAGAGGATAAGAGAATATTGATGTGTACAAGGGTATTTTGGTCCATTGTGGCATAATTTTTTTTTCTATTTTCTAAATGAAACCCTAACGGTGTGATGAAACCAAAGCCAAACGGTAACTCCAGATTTAAAAAGCAGGGTCAAATTAGTAGTTATACTTCAGAATATGGTCAAAGTAGCAATTGTCTCTTTTTTTTTCTTACGTTTTGTATTCCTCTGTTTTATATATTCAATCTTATCAAAATCATGTGTTTTTATTACTACGTTTTCTCAATCCTATATTTTTAAAGGATTCTATATAGAAAATTTTTACATGAAACGTACTGCTTAGCACTTCAGAAAAAGTGCTAATAGTAAATCCTACCTCAATTCCAAAATGAGTGCAATTCTTTATTCAAATTTTATCCTAAAATAAATGCAATCCTACCATATTACTTATCACATTTTATTCAAATTTATCTCCATCTTATCCTCTACACTGTCCCTACCATATCTTATCTTATTTAATAGGAGGCGTTCGAGTATTTTTCTCTCACACTTCTAAAAGTGCCCTTATAGTGAGACCGACGGAGTAAGGGATTTTTTTTCAGCCCGTCACACTTAAAACTCAGCCTTAATTGCCTTAAAACTCAACCTGATGTGTTCCCCCTCTATAATCGTAATCCAAAAGATATCCCGACGATTCATTAATACAGTCCAATAATTCAGTTAGTTCTTGACAATCTAATTAATATACTCCATATCTCTATCAGAAGTCGTGCAGCTGCTTAACGATAATCCCTCTGCCATGTTTTCCATCCGATGGCTTCTCGAGGTGCCACGCTTCACCTTGGAATAGCACGTTTCATCGTTGAAGCAAAACAAAAGTTTTTTTTTTGACAAAAGCAAAACAAAAGTTTTTTTCTTTTGACAAAAGCAAAACAAAAGTTAGTAACTGTTTTGAGCAATAGAAAAAGAAATCGAAAATTCAGTTGTCGTGTGATCATTACTTTGATTTCCATACGGTTCGTAAGTGTAACCGCATGGAAAAATAGGGGACAAGCTCCAGGCTGTCGCCCGCACGGGAAAACGCAATATCCCGTGCGAGTGGCTTAAGCCAACCGCATACCCCGCACAGGCCCACCGCATTTAACCCTCCCACCACCTCCCTCCGCCCGCTCCACCTCCCTCTCTCCCACTCCACTCCTCTCCTCTCCTCTCTCTCTCCCTCAGTGCACAGCGCGCCCCTCCCTCCCTCTCCCTCCCCTCCACAGCGACAGCACGGTGCGCGGCGGCGGGACGGCGGCGGCTGCCGCGGGCGAGAGCGGCAGCGGCTGCCACGGGCAACAGCGGTAGTGGCGCGCGCCCCCTCCCCTCCTTCCCCTAGCAGATCCAGCGGAGGGGGGCTTGGGGGCGGCGGATCCGGCGGCGCCCGCCCCCTCCCCTCCTTCCCCTTGCAGATCCAAGGGAGGGGGCGACGGATCCGGCGGCGCGAGGCGGGAGGAGAGCAGGCGGCGTGGCGGCCGCGGACGACAGCGGCGGTGGCGTGCGCCCCCTCCCCTCTCTCCCCGTGCAGATCCGGCGGAGGGGAGGCTTGGGGACGGCAGATCCGGCAGCGCCTGCCCCCTCCCCTCCTTCCTCTTGCAGATCCGGGGGAGGGGGTGGAGGATCCGGCCGGCGGCGCATGGCTCTCCTCCCCCTCCCTTGCAGATCCGGCAGAGGGGAGGGGGACTGGCGGAGCGGCAGCATGCGTCGGCGACCGGATCTATCTCTCCCCCTCCTCTCTTTGTTATTTGTGATTTTTTGTGTGTGATTTGTTCATGTGAGATGTGTTCTTGTGATGTGTTCGGCGGCAGGCGACCGCGAGGGGGCGACGGCGGCGGGCCTCGGCTAGGTGGCGATGGATTAGGGTTAGGGTTAGGGTTTTTTTTCTTTTTTTTGTTTCATTTTTTTCTCCGTGCGGGCGCGCCACCCGCACGCGAAAATCGCGATTTTCCTAGATGACTGGGTGCGTGCGGGTGCCCACCCGCACGTGAAAATGGGCTAGCCCGCACAGGAAAATCGGTGCTGTAGTAGTGTTACTTTTGTTGCCGAGTGCTAACGACACGATCAAAATCAGTACTTTGAAGGCTCGGCTAGTGCCAATGGGTACCTGAGGAAATTCAATTTAGGATTGCACTTATTTTCAAGGGACTATGGGATCTAGTTTTAGTATACCTGACTATGTCATTCCATTCAATTTAGGTCCCATAGAAAATTACTGAGGACTCTCGGCTGTGCTATTTTAAGCTTCTCTGCTATATTATTGTCGTGCACTATTTACTCTATGATTCTAAAAAAGAGTATCTTTTATTGGAATTTTTTCTCCCGTACTGCTTAGGACATTCTAAGCAGTATTTATTTTTATTTTTTAAAATATTTAGCTTATCTATATAGTAGTAAAGTGGATATTCATAATTAATAATCTATGTCCAGCATCGACGAGAGCTTTCTGGATTATTATATGTTCTAGTAGTACTACCTCCATTTCAGAATATAAGGAGTTTTAAAGTTGAACACGGTTATTAAGAAAATAGGTAGAATTAAATGGTGAAGGTTGTGATTGGTTAAAAATTAAAGGCAGGTGGGAAAATTAAATGGTGGAGAATTGTGATTGGTTGAGAATTGAAGGTAGGTGAGAAAATTAAATGGTAAATGGTTATGATTGGTTAAGAATGGAATGTCTGGAGAAGTTGTTATATTTTGAGAAAAAATTTGAAGGCTAATAGTTGTTATATTTTGATACGGAGGGAGTACCTGAGTATATCTATGCACCTGACACGTGCCAATCAACACAAGAACACTATAAGTAATTAGAAAATTGTCCACGCTAGCAAACTTATGAGCCGGAAGATAGCTAAGACCATGTTTAGATTCCAACTTTTTTCTTCAAACTTTCAACTTTTCCGTCACATAGCTCCAATTTATTCAAATTTTTAGTTTTGGTATGGAACAACACAGACTAAGTAGAAAGAGGTTGTGACTTGTGAGCCGACACTATTTTGCCACTGACTATACACATGCTCCAAGGGAAGTTCTATACTGGTGCATGTATTTATGGACTCCACATCAATAATTCTACTAGTTTGCGAAGGAGAAAACGATACTAGAATATGTTAAATCCACATAAAATCTCTTATATTATAGGACAGAGGGAGTAGTAGATAAAAGAATGCGATAAAATAGCTTGGGTTCATTAAACAATAAAATAACTATATAGCCAATTGTGCACAAGTAAAAGATCATAAACACGTGTACAATTTTGGAGCTAACAATTAACTACACTATTAACCTTGCCCTTAGAATGAAAAACTGTCCACGCATGCGACTTGAAACTCGTACTGGTTCTAAATAGATATCTGAAGATTTTGAGCTTTTGCCGTAACAATTGAAACGGCATGCAGTAAGGATTCGAAAGACTGTTAACTGAACGAAGTTTAAGGTAGTAATTAATTAACTTTACTAGCGAAGGCCATTGTAAACTGTCAGAGTTCTTCGTGGCTTCCCGCTGTGAGAGAAGTGGCTGCCTCTCGGTTCTCACCAAGCAGTCGAAAATGCCAGAACAGCGACCAGATAGGATCATCGTGCCATGCAGGCATGCAGCCTTTGAGAACTGAAAGAGCCGGTGAAAGTCCTGCAAAGCGAAAAGCAAATGAACAAACATCTGCCTGTGCTGCTGCCTCGCCTCGCTGTCCTTTTCCGGTGGGTTGCCGCTGCTAACCTCTGCCTCCGCGATACGTGACACGTCATCCTCCCCCCACCCCACCCCATGCTTGCACCCCCCCCCCCCCCCCTCCCTCCCTTATTACCACCACCCCCCTCCTCCATCCTCCTCTGCTCCTCCAACCTGGCTCAGTTTCCTCCTGTTCTTGAGAGAACTGAATCTGCTGTCCAGCTGCTGCTCCGGCTGGTCTCTGAGTTGAAGGTAAGGTTAATCGGTGTCTCTCAGCCTGAATGAATTTGTCTATCTCCTATGGCTTTGTGGTGGTTGAATTTTGCGTTCTGGGGATGTTAGGACCTTCTTGTTGGGACAATTTCTGAGATTCTGGCTTGCTTTGGATGGGTTGGGGGAAGAGTTAGGTGCTTGCTGGTGTGTATTTCTTTTGCATTTCGGTTGTCCTGTGAAGGATGCGTGTTCTCGGCATTTCCAGCTCATTGTGTCTTTGCCCTTCAGATAACAGTTATCCTCGTGCTTTTCCTTTTTCTTTCAGCAAAACATATCTGGACTTCTGTACAAGTGCTTTTTTTTTCTTCTTTGGACGATATTTTGTTTTGCATTCTAGTGATTCTGTACAAGTGCCATCTGATAGCATATCATCATTCGGCAACTGGTGATTTCCCCTATGCGGTCTTTCATGTACTTGCATGATTGAACATATGGCAGTGCTTCTGTCGGATGCTATCGATGTTTTACTTGCGAAAGGCCGGGGAACTTTTTGCAGATCTTGAGGTTTTTAGTAGTGATGCAGTCATTCAAAAAGATAACCTTGTGCTGGTCCTTTTGCCTTTCGGCTGCACTTGCATGTGCGTTTTCTCAGAGATGCTGCATCTCCAGCTCAGCTTCTGTCATCAGTCATTAGTCATTGCCATCTTTTATGTGGATAAAGTCAAAGTTAATTTAGCACCGCTGTTTTGGAGTTGTTTGGTCATTTTATATATTTTCATCAGGTGTTGTTTACTGTTCCTGGTACTAAAATTTCGAATTTACAAATGACTACCTCATTCTCCTTTCTTTTTTTCCTTTTTCCTTGTGGCAGACCGGTTCCTGAAAGAATATTCTTTTCATGAAATGTACTTCCGGTTTTTTAAATAGAATGATTAAATTACAGTAGGATGAATAACTAAATTTGTCGATATGCCTTGTACCGGTACTCCTTGTTAGTTCTTAGTGAATCTATGTATACTATTGCTTGTCAAATTGTGAATTTTACTATCAGCTGTATGTATGTCTATTGAAGAACTCTCAACAGTTCTAACTTCCTAAGATGTTTTAATCAATTCTTGCTACCAACCTGGATACAGTATTCTCCGTAGTTTTTTCTTCATTTTTTTTTTAAAGAGATCTATTGAGAGTCCTTGGTACCCATCTTCTGTAGAATTGTCCATGTGAACAGTTGCTTCAAGATTTCTGCTGCATCTGTGATACGGTATCACTGATACTGTAGTGATCAGATCCAAAACACATATATAGTTCGCCACCATTCTAAAACACATGTTTGTGTGATCAGATCTAGCTCGCCACCATATATAGTTCAGGTTTTCAAGTTGTAATATCACTTGCCTTTTGCGATAGATATGACAACACACTTTGTGTCAGGCTGTCCCAATTTTCTCTGAATTTTCTCTCATATATCATGATTTAGTTATGGCTTTTGTTCCTTGACATTTCAATGTCTAATTGTCCAATGTTAAGTAAATCCTTTTCATAGCCTGATTTATTGAATACTTGCAGGTACTTGAATAACTTGAAGGTTCCTAGGAACCTTCATTTGTTGGAAGATGTATAGGGCTAAGAGGGCTGCATTATCTCCAAAGGTGAAGCGCCGTGTAGGGAAGTATGAGCTCGGGCGCACCATTGGAGAAGGAACCTTTGCAAAGGTCCGGTTTGCGAAGAACACTGAAAATGACGAACCAGTTGCTATCAAAATCCTTGACAAGGAGAAGGTTCAGAAGCACAGATTGGTTGAACAGGTCATTCTCAGGCATTTATTTTTTGGAGCAATTCTCAATCAATTCCCTTATAAGGCATTGCATCAGTTTTTTTATCAATCACTGTGTTCGTCCAATATCTTTAATTCATATATCAGACTAACCTCTGTGATTCAGTCCACTAGGAATATCCTTTTTTGAGGTAAACAGTCCACTAGGAATAAAGTGGTCAAAAATCGAAGTTTCCTATATCGCTTTCAGTAAACCATACAGCCAATCTTACCATCATTTGTAATAGTCAACAAAGTTTACCTCCCAAAAAAATGTATGTTTCTTACGTAATTGACCACATGTGTAATTGAAATATGTGATTTTCTTTCATCAACATTTACTACAATCAACTTGCATCTTTGTATCAAGGAACAAAACTGAAGAAAAAATTTTCTTCCTTGGATGTTGCCGTGCCAGCATGGGAGCATAGGAAGATGTAACTTCAATTAAGAATGATTCCGTGTCCACATGACTACGTACATATTTGCATGACATCGAGATATACCCAAATGGTGATCTTCCAGTTGAAGTCATATTACCAACTCAGTATGTTCTCCTGGTGCCTTGTGCTGTTTCTAATTGCTGTCAACTTTATGAAAAGTTGAAGTAAAAAGAAAGGACCTCATTTTGTACAATTCAAGATATGTTTTGCCCATGCCACATGGATGTTCATGTTCTCAATTCCATTGAATAGGCTTTGCTCTTCATTATACTGTTCTAACCATAGAGATTTTAGACACAGAATAACATTAGATGCAAAAGTTGTGGTTAGAACTCATAACACAAATGTATAGTTTTACATATGTGCAATTCCAAGGAACAAATCACATATACATTTTTGAAAGGAAGAAATTATTTATTTGATATTTTTATGCTCATGCCATTCTAAATTCAATGCAGATTAGGCGTGAAATTTGTACTATGAAGTTAGTAAAGCATCCTAATGTTGTTCGGCTGTTCGAGGTAAAGTCACAAAGTGGCCTGCACTTCATGATTTATCAAACCTCTTAAAAATATGTTTATTCATGCCAACAGTAATAACCTTAGGCTGAAAAATATGTCTACCTCAGGTCATGGGAAGTAAAGCAAGAATTTTCATTGTTCTGGAATATGTTACTGGAGGAGAGCTCTTTGAAATCATTGTAAGTGCCAATTTGAGATCTAAAACTTATGAAAGGATTGCCCGATGTCAGAATATTGATTCATGGTATATTATCATGTTATGTTGATTTTAACTGACATTATATACCAATTACAAAGGCAACTAATGGAAGGTTGAAGGAGGAGGAAGCACGAAAATACTTTCAACAACTTATCAATGCAGTTGACTACTGCCACAGTAGGGGTGTGTACCACAGAGACTTGAAGGTAAAGGCTTAACGTCCTGATCATGAACAAGTGAGCAACAACTGTTATGAGCATATGCTGATCTTTAACATGCGTTTTCAGTTAGAAAATTTGCTGCTTGATGCTTCTGGAAACCTGAAAGTATCTGACTTTGGTTTGAGTGCTTTAACCGAGCAAGTGAAGGTATCATAATGTTCTCAATAATAGTTGCGTTGTTGTTCTTGTTTGGCCTTTTAAATTATCACTGGTCTGATATTATTGAATTCACCTATACAGGCTGACGGTTTGCTGCACACGACATGTGGAACTCCTAATTATGTTGCTCCAGAGGTAATCTTTTTTTTCTTGTCATAGTAGATTAGTATTACACATGTTGATTGCACATTGGCACTACATTAACATTTCTAACATAGTGTTTGATCTGTTCCTGTAGGTGATTGAGGACAGAGGCTATGATGGGGCAGCTGCAGATATCTGGTCTTGTGGGGTAATCCTTTATGTTCTGCTTGCTGGGTTTTTACCATTTGAGGATGACAACATCATTGCTCTTTATAAAAAGGTAATACATACAAAAACTATACAAAACACCCAGGTTTTGTGAATGCCAATTATTTTTTCTTACTCTCTTCTCGATCACAGATCTCTGAAGCTCAGTTTACCTGTCCCTCTTGGTTTTCTACTGGAGCTAAGAAGCTGATCACCAGAATTCTGGATCCCAACCCTACAACTGTAAGCTTCGTATAAATTTTGAGATCTTATTGCTCAAAGGACTCAGATATACAGTAGGCTAAAACATATCTAAACAGAACTACAAGCATTTTGAGCAAGCAATAATCAGTCGTGGAACGAATGTGGTTTTATGCGTCTATGACTAGGTGGATCTTTCACATTGAAATGAAATTTGTTTACAACCTTGCATCTTTTATTGTTTAACCGAGTCGTTCTGTTAACCTTTTCAATTCCAAAAAGTAGTCATTGAACCCCAATTTACCTGATTTCTGCCATTGTTGAATTTTGTGCAGAGGATCACCATTTCTCAAATACTGGAAGATCCTTGGTTCAAAAAGGGTTACAAACCGCCTGTATTTGACGAGAAATATGAAACTAGTTTTGACGATGTCGATGCTGCTTTTGGAGACTCCGAAGTGAGTCAATTGGACTATTTATTTCAAAACATTCAGCCTCTTGTGGTAGGAATAAGAGGATTAACTTTTTTTTATACATTTACCGATTAACAGGACCGGCATGTCAAAGAAGAAACTGAAGATCAGCCTACCTCTATGAACGCGTTTGAACTCATTTCACTGAATCAGGCACTGAATCTGGACAATTTGTTCGAGGCAAAAAAGGTCAGATAATTCTGCTCCAATTAGTAAAGTATATTATAACCCTTTCAATATTATAGTTCCCCATTTTTCAGAACCAGTTTGTTTTTGTGAAGTATTTTAAAAACTATCATTGCAGTGGACTAATTAGTGCAAATATTGTTACAGGAGTATAAAAGAGAGACAAGATTCACATCACAATGTCCTCCAAAAGAAATTATCACCAAGATTGAAGAAGCTGCAAAGCCACTTGGATTTGATATTCAAAAGAAAAATTACAAGGTATTCATATAGCCTACTATGTGCACAGAGAAACTTCTCTTACTACTCCCACATACATCAAAAGTTATCAGGAAATAAAGTTCTTACAACCGACTTCCATACCTCGAGTCCTACTAAGTTTGTTTGTTCACTCCAGATGCGCATGGAGAACCTGAAAGCAGGTAGAAAAGGCAATCTCAATGTTGCAACTGAGGTAAGTTGAAACCCCATTCTAACAAAATACTGAAAACATCAAGGAACCACTGTTCACTGAGATTTATGACCAATAATAGGTTTTCCAAGTAGCTCCATCCTTACATGTGGTTGAGCTCAAGAAGGCAAAGGGGGACACTCTGGAGTTCCAAAAGGTGCCATTCTTTGACACCGGAAATTTCGCTATTTCCAACTTGCTATTTACTGCCAAGTTTAACCAAAATCAATTCTGCTGTGAAACAACAGTTCTACAGAACCCTGTCGACCCAGCTCAAGGACGTGGTCTGGAAGTGCGACGGCGAGGTCGAAGGCAACGGCGCCGCGGCGTGAACGTGGTTTTTGCCATGGCTTTCGGGGCACCGGTTCTTCGTGTACATAGCTGCTCTGCCATCATCAATGGGGTGTTCGCCGTAGAGTAGCTTTTTGTAACAAGAGAAAAAGGAAAGAAAAAAAGAGAGGGAAAGATTCGTTGGTTCGTTGATAGGTAGGCTGCTCCGATGAAACAACGGGCGCGATGCCTGCTGTGGATGAGCTTGTCGCCGTGTTAGTTCATTTATTCTGTGGCCTCGGAAGGTTGTAACGGGACACAATCAGATGCCGCAATGCAACGGGCTGACAGTTTGTGAGTTTCAAACAACATTTGAATAAGTCTAGCCTCCTCCGTCAACTATAGGCGGAGTTTGATTCACGTTCTTCTACGGTTCAACCGTAAAACTAGGTATATAGACTTTCTCAACATTTAAAGTGCCATGAAGAATAAAACCACTTAAGAAGGTAAATTGATTATGTTTAAACAGTAAACGGTTTTGCAGTTGATTGAAGGATGTAATCAAACTCGGCCAGGCCTATAGTTGAGGGACGTAGAACGGACTTATTCCAACAACGTTTGCTTGGCTCCGTCGTCTCGGTAGCTCGATTCTTGTTCTCTTTTAGCTCTGCGATGAGTTCGAGCTGAGCAGTGTGCTCGAAATGGAATAAGTTTACTTTAGGTCTCTCAATTAGTTGTCAAGTCTAAAATTCATTCCTGAATCGCAATACTAGATATGATGCATCCCTCAACTTCCAAAACCAGTACAAATAAAAGTCTTAAGGCGGTTTGGACAATGGTTTTGGCTGACGTGATGCCTACGTGGTGTTGTCGTGACAATTAAAGTTAGAAAAAAACTATAGGGCCCACATGTCAATGAGTGTTTGACTAAAAATTAAATAAATGCAGTGAAACCCACCTCATCACCCATCTCTTTCCCCTTCTCTTCCTTCCAGTGCCGACCCTAGGCCTAGGCCGATTGTGCGACCTCCTAGGACCCAGAGTGGAGGGAGGTCCGCCACCACCACCCCAAACAGCCCAGCCACCTAGCATTCAAAGCCGCAAGCCAGGAAGGCATGGAGAGGGCCACGGTGGGTGATGACGACATGAAGGCGTCATCGTCCTCGTCATCAGAGAGGAAGGATGGCGGAGCGCGCAGGGAGGGCGCAACGGGATGCCGCTATTGTGCATTAAGACGCGCACCCTGAACAGGTCCGAGCGCTGCTCAAGGGTTTTGCTCCCGCCGCCCCCATCGCTGTTGCTCCTCCACCGTCGCCGCTGGTTGCCGTCGTCGTTCCCGCCCTCGCACTGACCTCGTCACAGTTGCCCTCGCACCACCCTCCATACTCACTGCGTCTAGTGAGGAGGGAGGAGAGGATGGGATGGACTGGTGGGGAGGTTGAGAGGTGGTGGAGAGAGATGGGAAAGAAAGAAGAGGGGAGGATAAAGGAATAAGATGAATCTTGACGTGTGAGTCCCACGTGCAGATGAGGAGATGGATGCAAAATGTGACGGCAGTGGCACGGTTACGAATAGACGAATTATAATAGCATTTATATGAAATGGCATATTTGCAATCGCATGGATCGAATTAACCCTATCTTTTACCCTTGATAGAAATGTCTCTCTCAACCATAAAACCGGGTATAACACCTCCCCTATCCTTTAAAACCGATGCAAATTGACTCAGGTGAGGCCTAGGATAGGGGAGGTGTTATTCCCGGTTTTACAGTTGAGGAAGATGATTCGATCATAGGTAAAAGATAAAGGATGAAAAATAGACTTATTCCTAACTGTTCTAGTCTATCTGTCTCCCTCTCTCCCGAAAGCAGTTCGCATCCAATCCTTACCAAAACCACGTGCTCTCGCAGCACCACTGCACCAGTTGAGCCTCGATGCCAACACACACATGTCCTCCATGGGACCATGCGACTAAGTCAAGACCGCGCGAGCAAAGCAGGCCAGGCCGCCCCTCTGACGAAAAAGACAGCCACCCCAACGAGGTCAGAGTCTCAGAGAGGCCATCTGGATGGACAACACGAATCACGATTCAGAACACCTACCTACCATAACCAAAACTGAAACCCGGCCAAACTTCACCGAACATAGCAGCAGCCAGCCAGACACTCCGAGATGCTTCACATGCGACCTGACTTTTCAACCAAGAGGTCCAAAACAATCTGAATAACCAATAGGATAACGGCAACGGAAAGCAACTGCCTGTTCATTGATGGATGATGCTAAAAATGATCCGATCAGATCTGACGGAAAAGAAAAACAGTGCTACAAAAAGACGGGACTCAACTGCAATGCAATTCAGGGTTCGGAGAGATCAGAGCAAGCCTTAACAGATTCACACAGAAAAATCAAGCAAGAAGTTCCATGGCACACCGGAGAGACTGGAGAGATAGAAAAATGTTCAGCAACTACAACTAGTACGGTTCGGTTTTCTTCATCAGGGAAGACGACTGAAACCAGTGTTTGCATCCCCTTACTAATACGGCAATGCACGGTTTCCTCCTCCCAGGGTACTATGCCATCATCGGCAGGGGAAGTGGTGCCTCACTTGGCCATCATGACCTTGACGAACTCCTCGTAGTTGATCTGGCCGTCACCGTCGACGTCGGCTTCGCGGATCATCTCGTCGACCTCCTCGTCGGTCAGCTTCTCGCCGAGGTTGGTCATGACGTGGCGGAGCTCGGCGGCGGAGATGAAGCCGTTCTGGTCTTTGTCGAACACCCTGAACGCCTCCTTGAGCTCCTCCTCCGAGTCGGTGTCCTTCATCTTGCGTGCCATCAGGTTGAGGAACTCCGGGAAGTCGATGGTGCCGTTGCCGTCCGCGTCGACCTCGTTGATCATGTCCTGGAGCTCGGCCTCCGTTGGGTTCTGCCCCAGCGAACGCATCACGGTTCCCAGCTCCTTGGTTGTGATGCAACCTGCCAAATGTGACATCACGGACAGATTTCAGATCATCTTCACATTGCTACTAGTGACTATTCCATTAGTTAGCACATGCTTTCAACTAAAGCAAACAACTAACAGCCAGCTACATCAAAGACATGTAGGAACAGATCAAGCTGCACCCGATCCGATAAATTATTATGTCGAGCTTGACAACTAAGCCATGATCATCCAGGTTTTATGCAACATGCCCAATGTAAACAAACCACGTAATCCTTACAAATTCATGCTTTTCACAGAGCATAATTCAGATGAACATCAAAATGCAATCTATATATAATAATCATGGCAAATACTGCTATGAACACGTAAACTCTGAAAATAGTTCTTAATCTCCGTTGCTAAAGATCTTTGGATCTATTAGTCTACCATCCATCTGCTATAATCATCCTGAAACTACACTATTTCTAGTTCTCAACGTGTCAAAATTTTGTGCACGCTGGGATCGGATCTAAGGCATCCGGATCCGCGATCCAATGGCAAAAGCAGAGGAACACAAAGGTCCCCATCTCGAGACATGCCAAGCCGCTGCGGCGCATCGCAACAGTTGCAGTTTCATCTTTAAGGGAAGCCACTAATTAATCTAACCCAATAAGCTCTACAGCTCGGTAAAATTCTCGGAGTAAATTTTCCAGATTAAGCGTAACACGAGATCTTCACATTATGTAGTGCGCACAGTGTAAGACAGCGATGCAAAATTCGAGCGGTTAGCGAAGAACGCCCAAAATATTCTGCTACAACGACATGGATATCCAGAATAACAGCAAGCTGCAAGAACAGGGATGAGGAGAGGGTGTTCTTTTACCATCGCCGTCCTTGTCGAAGAGGCTGAAGGCCTCCTTGAACTCGGCGATCTGGTCGTCGGTGAGCTGGTCCGCCATGCCGCTGGGCTTAGCCTGGCTTCTTCCTCCTCCTCTTCTTCTTCTTCTTCGCTTCTCTCACCGAGCGCGCGAGGAGGCGAGGGGTGGGGAAGACGAGACCGTCGCGGAGAGAATGGCTGGGAGCGATCTGTGGCCTCGCGTCCGGGAAATTTCGCCGGCCTTTATACCCGCCCGCCCGTTCCCCGACCGGCCCGTTCCGCCGTCCACGCCTCCCGTTAACGTCGCGCCCCCGCGAATTCCCCAAACTACCCCCCCTTCAATTCCTCTCTCTCCCTCTCACTCCCCCGTCTCCTCCTGATCAATCAACCAAGATATGCGCGGCTGTACTTTCCTAACGTCCCTCGTCTCGTTGGCACAGGCTGGAGTGGAGGACGCGTTGCGATGCTCGCAACGTGCGACGGGCAAAGCGGTCACCGACCGCGACGCGACATGGGCGCCACGAGTCCACGACGACGCGCGCGAGTCCGTCGCTGGCTCGCGCGGTGGTGTTGTCAGCGTCGTTGGTACTATGTTAGGATGTGATTTTGTAACATTTGTAGTGCATGAATATCTTCTTTCCGTCTGAAGGTATGTATATACATGTGCACCCCATCAATCCATCATGATTTGGCTCTTACTAGCGTTTTTTTTCTCCGCGGTGTTATGTTTTATCTGGACTTGTATAAGTTCTATATATGTATGACGTGCATGGATGGCATCATTATACCGAGCACCGAGCAAGTAGGACACAGGGCAACATGCGAGGACATTTTGGTCACACGGTGCAACGTCGAGGGACAAGGCCTGTGAATTGCGGGAACGTGCTGCCATGTGGTACAGTCAACCTGCCCATGACTTCCAAAAGAGGGACCGGCTCCGTGTCAGTTTTCCAGGAGGCCGGAGATTACCGTACTACCCCGGACGCGGTCTGGACGCGGAGTGATGATTTCCCTCTTTTATTTTTCCACTTTCCAAAAAAATTATTCAAAGCTGCAAATCCGGCCGGTGCCACGTCACCAGCGCAGATCGTGAATACTTCTGATGGGCCCCGGGCCAGTGTGTTCAGCCGGCCCATCATGCCGTTGTCGCTTGTCAGGAATAGAACGTAACGTACCCCAAGTTGACATCGCCAGAAGCCCACGAGCCCTTCCTCTTCTCTTTTTGAGGCTTCGAACTTCTTGATCAGAGAGCAAGGAGTCGCGAGGTCGCTCATGGCGGTCGGTCGCTTTGCATCCTTTCACCTTTCTTTGGGAAAAGCCTGGGAGAGGAGATTTGGATCGCTTGCTCCGGCAACATCAGCAGGGAGGATTGGGATCTGGTCAAGGCGAGATTATACATGCAGGCAGATCGCACCGCTGCAGCCAATCATCGCAGCCTGCAGAGAAGCACGGTGAAAGCGTCCAAAGCGGCGAGTAAAATGGGCAGCAATGCACGTGGTAGCTTTCTTTGGCGAAAGCTAGCAAGATCACATCCCTGTCTTTTTTCGCCGTAGCAAATGGGCCCAGATCTAGCTGCGGAGAGCCTTCGGTGCTGGGCTGGACGCCTGGACCTGATCAACGTCTCTCTTTCGCTTTCGCTTCTTCTTTTCTCCCTTTTTCTTTTCTTTCTTTCGCTTTTTTTGGTTTCTTCAAGGCTCTATACCGCAAATCTGTACGTACTAGTAACTTTCAACTTGCCAAGAAGTTCTACTTGTAAGCTTGCAGAGTTGCGGACTTGCGGTTCCACATTATTCCGTGAATTCAGTATCATTGTACCGAGAAGGTGCACTGTCCACTCAACCTCCGGATCTCATATACATACCCAGCACACCACAAGTTCTGAATGTTCTTGAAATTAACAATTCATAGTGATGAGTTCTTAATAAACGCACCTTTTCTGCCCTACATGGCCAGTTAGTTCTCCACAAGCATGCACTGATCACTGCTCTTCTAATATGAAGATTCTCTGAAGTTTTCCTGAAGAGAAGACTGAAGTTTAACTAGCATCTTGCCCTTAAAAAAAAGTAACAGTATTTGTCATGCTCATTCAGAAAGATTTGTCGAGGCAAGCAGTCAAAACAGTATAGTACACTAGCACTTTGGTTGGCCGCTAGCTTCCTGCACCATACGACGATACTAGCAGGCCAGTGCTGATGTTTTTTTGGCGGCAATGGCACGGTAAATATTTGGTCCCTGAATAGGAGGACACATCGTGCAAAGTTATCGCAAAAGCTCGCTGCAAGCATGGAGCAAAGTCTAGGCAACCACAGGCCGTAGGTACAGGATATTCCAATCAGCTGGCCTAGCCCTGCCGTGCACCTAAGCTACCAGCTGCAATCACTGAATTCCAAGCATCTCCCTTTTCTTTTCTTTTGTTCAGAATCTGCACTTCTTTTTTTTTTTACTATTTCACAAACAAAGGAGGGGGGGGGGGGGTGTACTCTCACAAACGAATACTCCTACAAAATGTGGTGTATATTTTCTCAGATTTGTTGAACTGTGCCAAGCTACCTAGCCACACCCAAACATTTCTCATGCCACTCTGCAATCCGCATTTTTCCGTCAGAAATTGAGGATTATGACAAGGGAAGAAAGAGCAGACTCTTACCAAAAATAAAAAATAAAAATGAAGGCGAATGAACATATTCCATATCTCGATGAACTTTCAGAAATCCAGACAAAACTGTACTGTACCACTCATGGAATAGTACTATAGCGTAGTAAGTTTCATGTACTAATCTTGATTACTCCGATTATTGGTGTACTTAGACCCTGGCAGCTAGCATAATCATATCGAGCCCGTTGTCAGTTGCTTCTTTGTGTGGTTGGTACTACTTGCCTGCTGGGCAGCTGTAGTAGAGCCCTCACCTCATCGATCGGTAGGGACGGGGAAACTGTTTTAAACTCTTGGGTGGACGTCCATCCGTTTCCTACATGTTATCTAAATGGTTATAAAAAAATTTAAAAGAATTGACATGATAGGTTAATATGTAATATATCACTTCACAAACATGCAAGTTCAAATTCGACTTCTATAAATTGTAACAAAAATAACAAATTTGACTGTGAATATACGTATACTAGTTAAAGTTTGATTTGTTATGTTTGTTACAACTTGTAGAAGTCGAATTTGAACTTGCATGTTTGTGAAGTGATATATTACATATTAACCTATCTTGTGATTTTTTTTAGAATTATTTTATAATTATTTAAGTGACATGAAAGAAACGAGTGGACTTCCACCCGAGAGATTAGAATCCATCCTCGTAGGGACGGTAGTAGCAACAGGCAGTTCCCACATTTTGTGAAGAGTTGCATCACTTTTATTGCCCTCCACCTACAACAGCGTGTACTACGCCAAATGCGTCGCGAATCCTTTTCTTTCAAGGCGGCCATGATGAGATCATGGGCTTGTCAGTGGCTGACACCCATGGAGATGGACTTGGAGACGTACTCGCAGACGCGCGCTAGCTGTAGCGGTTCAATTCCTAGCTTGGTTGTCTCGATCAGAAGACCAGCCTTTTCCTGCACATGGCGGCGCCGGCGCCGTGGACGAACGGGTGCGGCGTTGGCGCCGCCGACTGCGCGAGCATCTCCGCGACGACGTCCCCGACCAGGTCGTGCAGGATTGCGCGCTCCAGCGCCGCGCCGACACGGCCGGCCTCGTGCCGCTCCTCGTCGGCGCCATGCCCCCACACCTCCCCCACGCTCTCCGCCATCGCGCGGCTCCGCCCGGATGCCGCCGCCGCCTCGAGGCCCCACCGTCGCCGGTGCCGCCAGCTGATCTCCGACGACGGCGGCGGCGGCGGCGGTATCCACCTCGGTATGGCCTCGATGGCCACCACCGGGTGGTGGTACATGGCGACGGCGTGCAGCTCGTTGCATGGTTTGATCTTGCAATAGTCGCCTATACATAAATATGTTGACCTGTCACTAATTACCGTACTTTGGAAAAAATTAACAACTTGATGGAGTACTTCGCGAATGCAATACGTGAGCAGTATCAGCATGGAGAGGTGCGGCGTGTACGTACCCGAGAAAACGAGCGTGCGAGAGGGCTTCACGATCTTCGATCCGACGGCGGGGGTACCGCAGCTGAGCTTGCGATCTGCATCGAGATCCGTGCAGGGAGACGACCGTTTCCTGCATGGGAATCTCGGGGAGGTGATGGCGTCCAGCACGGAGTCAGGACTCGGGTAGTGCTCCTCGGACCGCGGCTTCTGCGGTGTCGGCGACGGCGACGGATCGACGTCGCGGCTGCCGTCGTCCTTCCACCGGTTGTCTGATCCCTTCCCTGTGGCTTCTGGAGTCGGCGGGGCGTCGGACGCGGCGGCCGCGCGCATCTCGGCGGCGCGGACGGCGGCGATGATCCGCCGCAGCGTCTTGAGGTCCTCGTCGCACTTCTCCAGCGCGCCCAGCAGCTTCCGCCGCTTCTCCGCCGCCGTCTCCGGGGGAGGGGGAGGGGGTCGAGTCGGTAGTGGCCGCGGCGTCGTCGCGGCGGGAGACGGCGGCGCGGACTCCTCCAGGCCCATGAGGCGGGCGACGATGGCCGGCGGCGTCGGGCGGGGGCTGTCGCAGCTGGCCCGGCGGTGCTCCGGCGCGATCGTCGGGCTCCGCGGCGCGTCGCAGGAGCGCCGCCGACGGACCGGAGTCGGCGCTGGATGCATCTGCTGCTGCGGCGGCTGTCCCTGCGACGAAGGTGAATACGTCGCCACCGGCACCTTCTGCCTGAATGGTGGCGGTGGAGACGGCGGAGTGCAGACCACCGGCGGCGCGGCGTTCTTGGCGGTGAGGCGCTTCCGGTGGTGGCTACGGTGGTACGGCGAGAGCAGGCGGAGGAGACCGGCCATGCACCCGACGCTCCGCCGCCGCTGAGCGCCGGATGAGGACGAGGACGCGCCGTGGCGATGGGCTGACTCCGGCGGCTGCATTGCACTAGCTCCCCGCCTCCTGACCGCCGCCGTCAACGACGTCCAAGCGAGAAGCAGCGAAGCGAAGCGTGGCCGCGCGTGGGTGACATTATAATCCGCGCGTGGAGTGGCGCGCAATGACCGAATCGCCCCCGCTGCTCCCCGCGGCAATCACAATAATGGGAAGGGCATCTCCGGTATTCATCGGTGTTAGAAGAGACGGGACAAAAGCTGGGCGAAGTGTCCCGGGTGTATCAGAGTTAAACTGCACTCTGCTGCAGTGTGGCAGCTAGCTAAGCCGCTTTGCTAGCTTGCAGTGGAGGCAGCAGCTGAGCTGCGTTAACGTTGCACACACACACACCAGGCAGGGCAGGCAGTGCAGCGCTGGAGTAATAGTTAATTAAGGTGACATTAATTAAACGTGACAGGGAACAGGGAGTGCTACTGCTACTGCACGCAGGCTTGAATGGGGAGGGCCTAGCTAGTGTGGAGATTAAGGAATAATGATCGCAATCATGTGCGTCGATCCGTGGAGCTCGCAACCACTTGACAGTGGTATATTTGTTGCCGGATTTTACATCAGTGCTGTCTTGGAATGCTTGGGTCTACCCGGGGCCCGGGGCAGGCGAAAGTACACAACTCACTACACATTGGTTAATTACGGGGTACTCCTACTTAATTACTATATCAGCCCCCGGCATGAACTAGGATGATGAGGCGTTTGCTGTTCTTTTCTTTGCTTTAGCTTCAAGTTTACACCTTCTCTGCAAGTATATGGAGTATGTAGATTTGGCTCGGTTGTACATGATTATAAACTTAGATGGAAGCTCGGGCTGTTACAAGATCGATGCGTATATATATGGTTTCCTTCTATCTTCCTTTCTGCGGCAGTAACCCAACTTAGACCGGCCATGCACATAGCCAGTACGCTACTATATAGAGAGTACTAGGATGATGAGTGCCCCTTTTGGGGATTACACACAGCTATTAGCTACTGATCCCAGTACGTACTGGTGATAAGTGCTTTAGGTAGCTTTGATCATGTGTTGCGATTCTTTTGTGCGAGAGGAAAAGGCCAGGGGATTGCAGCGCACCGGCCGCATTTAACGAGGAGCTAGGAGACGGTGAGGAATGTGGATACGTACAGTGGGTAAAAGCAAAGCGAAAGAGGCCGTGGCTGGGGTGGCTGGGCATGCAGAAAAGAAAAGTCTCCATCACTCCGAGGTCGAAACGAATCCTAGGCTAATTTGGACCGGGCATCCGTACGTACCGCCCACGCCCCGCCGCACCGGACGGAGAGGTCTTTTTTTTTTTTTTTGAAACCAACCGGACGGAGAGGTCGATATGGCAAGCCACCAGTTCATTGATTCATTCACCACCGCACGCGCACGCACGTACGCGGCCGGTACATGGCGCCACGGTTCAACGTACATATATATAGCACCCGTGCCGACCTGTACCGCGGGGCGCGCGTGCACGGAACAGAGCAAGTACGCTGCCCATGATCTCGCGTGGTATACTTGTAGGTGTAGGCGCGGCACCTGTACCGGCCGTGTTTCTGTACGAGTGACCGGGTGAGTGCGATGATTCGGTGAGCGGTGATCGATCTCCCGGCTGATCTCCGTGAGACTTGCACGCGCGAGAGAGCGAGAGCGAGAGCTACTAAGGTGGCCCGTGCCCGTGGCCGTCCCGGGCGCGAGTCCGGCCGGAAAGTAGGAGTACGTGAACGTACTAAGCCTGGGGGCGCGAGCGCGCCAGCGTCCAGCGAGAGAGAGCGTGCCGGCCGGCTGCGGGCCTGTGCAGCGGTGTCCGGTAGCGCTCGGTGGTAACGGCCCGGTTAGCGCAACAGACATGTCGGGCGAGCTGCCGAACGATTCCTTCTCGCCCGGACGCTAGCACTCTCCAGTCAGTTAATGAACTTACAGTGCTAATAACCGTTGTATAATGTACTCAGTACATACTCCGGAGTGTTATAGTAGTGCTAATTAAACGTTATAATGCGTGACTATCGTCGAATATTAATTTCTAGCGCACATTAAGTAGAGTGGTTGTGTGTTTATCTTAGAAAGGAGTAGTACGATTGTAGTATGTCTTGTACGGTTTGTTCTATGTATTTACACTCATTGCATCTTAATGTGCGCGATCAACTACGCAGACTTACTGTTTTTCTCTAATTAATTTGTGCCGAAATTTCTACCTATAGTAATTAAACACAGCGTACAAAGAAAACAATGATTCAATGCTGAGATCATGAGTCATGACAAAGTACAGAAGGATGCAAAGGAGAAGGGTTCAAGAACATCTCTCTGTCTATCTGTTAAGTTTCAATGGTTTTCGTAACCGTGTGTTCCATTTTCTACATTCGATATTTCGATTTTATTATGGTCGAGCGATTGGTCGGCTACTAGATATAGAATCCATAATGCTAAAAACACCAGTAATGATATATGATAGACAGCTATGCTCAGTTTTGTACTCCTGCAATTGCACCAATATATCCTGGTTTCATGAAGCTATCCTTGATAAAGCTATCTAGCATGAGGGCATATATACGAAGAAATGAGGGCAGTCAGACAAACCGATATGGGACCGCGATTATAGGGATCAGATTTCTAAATATGGTCGCAAGTGATTTCGCAATACAATTCATTTGCATTCCTGATCTTCCAGATTACTCAATCCCTTTCATATTAAAAGAGACATTTTTTTTCTTAGTAAATTGTATTGACGACACATGAACTTGTCAGGTGAGTGCAATTTATTGCACGAACTTGTAAATACTCGTTTTGATATATGAACTTATCTGATGCCTACAGAGAAAGGCCAAAAAGATACTGCATGGCTAACCTTATTATTGATTTAGGGCTTGATTAGGATACTACGCAAACATATATCAGAGAAGGTTGCTATTAGATATACACCTCTTCAATAAAAAGATAAAATGTGATATAGTGATCGTAGAAAAAAAGTAGGAAAAACCAAGCATTGATATAAGGATTAGAAATATATGGAATTCATCATTTCCACTGAAGAATAAAGTAGAGACTAAATTTATAAATATATCACGTTTTATGCATACTCATTACACGTATACATGTTACATCCTACTAATCAACATCACCTTCGTAAAATTAACATTGCCAAGCCATTTTGGTTCTGGTTCGCACGAACTAAACAAGTTCATGCAAACAAGCATTTTACATGTTTATTTACTAAATTGCATCCACCTAATAAGTTTGTGTACCACCAATATATTTTACTCTTTTTTTCAAACTTTTTTTTAATGTTTGATCAATTTATAGCAAAATTAGTAACAACTATGACATCAATTTAATTTCATTAAATCTAATATTGTATATATTGTTGATAATATGTTTGTTTTAAGTTGAAAATGTTGCTATACTTTTATATAAATTTAATCAAACACAAAGAAGTTTGACTAGTAAACAAGTTAAAGTGTCTTATATATAATATAAAATGGTGGAAGCAACCCTCAGAATAGATGGCTATAAAACACATTCAATAGGGATTGTCTACAATACCACTAGCAATACAGTGATATATAGATATGAAACCACGTATATAAACTACTGCTATTATATCAACAATACTGCACATGATCTAAATTCAAATCGATAGCTTAAGTATAATGCACATTCAATAGGGATTCTTTACAATTCTGTTAGTACAATAGACACTAACACGTGAATCTAAACGCATATTAACCACAGCTACTGTATTAGTAGTACTGCACAGGATGCATCCATAAGGGCACCCACAATGGTTATCTATAAGCTCTCTACAAGAGATCCATGTCAGCATATTTTTCTACTTGGAAGAGATTAAATGAAGAGAGAGAGCAAAGCTATCTACTAACATGGAGATAGTCTATAGAGAAAAACGAGGCAATGGATTAGAGAGCTATAGATACCCATGTAGACATACCATTGAAGTGGTTTACTATTAATCTAGTCTATTGTTGAGGTGTACATGTTTTATAGATAGCACCTTACTTTACCATTGCGGGTGCTCTAATACATTACCTCTTCCTGAGACCTCATCGGACAATGTACGTGGTGATTAGATCCGTAAGAGCATGTACAATAGCAGGCTATAAGCCAGCTAGAAACATATTTTAATGAGATAATAGAGGAGAGAGAAAAACAGCGGGCTACAGATATGTAGCCAGCTATAGCACAGACTCCAAGACATGATGTGTGTATGATATGTGGGACCAAGTATTAATAGTATAGTAAACAACTATTATATGAATTAGCTATTAGATTGGCTATAAATGAATTGGAGCTAGTAGTGAGCTATACTATTGAACTTGCTATAAGACGATCGATGAACCTATCTCAGTCTCACGTACGGCTGCCCCTAAAACTGCATGAAACGCCGCCGACGATAGTTCCCTATCCTGCCAGAGTAGCGCACCAATAATTGCAGCGTAGAGAGCAGTATGTCACTGTTCGCTTTTGTGATTTCTGGAGCAATTACTCACGGCGAGATCGTCGCTTAGGTGTGAGACGATTAGACGTAACCTTTTCAACGGAGGGCGCGGGAACGAGCAACAAAGTTTTCACCGCTGCCTTGGCGCGCGCCATGCTTCTCCGGTTTGCGTTGCGGTAGCTATGCATGGCCTAGCCGCGCACGTACCGCCGCGTTCGTCGCGGCCCGGGAGGCAGCAGCACAGGCGCGCACAGGCGCGAGGTGGCGACGAGCGACCGATGGCGACAGCGAGCGCGGAGCCGCGGAGCGGAGGGGGGGGGGGGGGGGGGCCTGCCGACCGAGTATACGTACTATAACGTCGACGTTCATTCATTCAGCCCCCGGCGCCACGGTGGGCCGGACCGAATCATGGTGAAAGAGATGGAGCAGAGGAGTGGGAGTGGGCGAGGCGAGGACGGTTGCCCTGTGCACTCGAGACAGCGCGGGGCAGTGCGGCAGACGGAGGGCGTGAGGAGACAGGCATCATTGATGGGCGTGCCGCCATCCAGCCAGTCAGCCACTGCGGCGACGCTAAAATGATCCGCTCCAATCGATTGGGTTTTGCTGCATCTGCTGCTGCTGCTGCGGCTGCACTCCTTGGTTACCACCCCACGTGGATGCCCCGGCAGCGCTCCTTTTCTTTTTCACCATGGGACGGGAGGTTGGGAGGGGAGGTACTGCACAAGTGCACAATGCACCAACATGGAGCATCATGGAGGGGCCGTGGAGTGTTAAGAGATTTGACACTTCTTACCAGCAGCAATG